TAGTGCAAAGTTGACAAGCTTTCCAGAAACCTTTGTAATGCTGGAACGCTGGAACCTCGTGAAAAGATCAGTCGTGGTTCAGCGAATCCAAAAATCTCGCTGCCCTCCGCCTGGGCACCAATTGGAGCGAACGAGGCGAACCACCGAGATAAAAAACACCTGCTGGTCCTATCCATAGCGAACGACCGGGCACGTCAAAGCGCAAAACCCTGATACGAATTACAGTTCCTAATAGTTAAAGCCGACAGAGCTTGTTTAATCGTCTCTCCGCCACATATCTCGCGAAAAATTACGCTTTAACTAAAAAAGTCGAGTTACAGGCCCTTAAAATCAGGGAACCTCTTTTAAAAGAAAGTAACGTTATGCAATTTTTCGGTTCTGGAATGTGCCAAGTGAAGTCGATTCTGAATAAGCTAAATCCGGCGTAGCGGTTTAGGGGGACAAAATGTGTCTCCAAATCAGTGCAGCAGGAGTAAGCCAATACGCACTGCCGCACACATGTTAACGTTGCAGATTGTTGACTAATTAGACGCGATGATTCCGCAGTGTTGGAATTGTTTCCAATGCTGCCGGGTTTCATATCACAACAGTGCCTGAAATAGTGATGGTACTGGAGGTGCAGTAGCAAGCCGGCCATAACTTATATAGCCTCAGAAGCGGTCAATTTAGGCGTCAATTTCACAGGCCCCCAAGTTCTACTTAAATTGATTCATCACACGCTTCGATCATACTGTACCAATGGCGCACAGATACCCGATTAAATATCACCATGAACTTTTGCCTTGATGAAATCAATGGCACCAGTAGTCTCAATCCACACATCGTAGTTGTAATGTAAATTTATTTGTGTTTCCTCCACGCTCCCAGGTGAGTATGCCATGGGGCGCCCCATCAAATGATTGCTTGGATTGATGAGGGCGAGCCAAAAAATTTATTTGCCCGGTGGACTTCCTTATATAAGGTATCGACCTGCGCCTTCAACCTCTGTATCATGGTGGTGCGGGTATCACATCCACCATTCATGATATCGTGTTTGGCACGCACAGCGGGGCTGTGGGGCACCGACGACTGAATTATATCAAGGATCTCACGAGGAACGATGGTACCCAGACTGGAATATGACTGTTCCAACCTCGTGAGGTCAAGGAGCAGCTTAATTTTCAAGAGCGTCAGGGTAGAAAAGTGGCTGAGAGCATGGAACTGGCCACAGAAACGATCAACAGGCTCTAACACATCGGCATTTTTGATATCGAGGTATGGCAGAGAGGTGTCTCCCCAGTCGTAATGTGGATTCTCACTCACGACGACCCACCACTTGATAAAGTCATAACATTCTTGGTCCTTGTTAAGTCGCAGCATCAGTGCAGGCACGAGATCCCGCACACCCATGTTATCACCTCGGCAGAGACGCAACATATCCATGAGATGGCCAAGCTGCGCCTCAACAGACTCAGCACTGTTGATTTTGGCCATTGCTTCGACGAGTGCAAACCGAGCTCGCATATAATCACGGGTTTCGAATAAGCCCCAGAAATGTCCGACACCATTGGTGAAAGGGTCTTCGGGCATCATGAAGTCTCCTGGGTGGCTGTGCAGGGCCTGCTCTTCTTCCTCCATAGTGACGCGAGATCTTCGGACGGTGCTGCAAGCAGATTTGTGTGACGGGCGATCAGCTGCTTGGTGATCGCGGCCGCAGTATAGCAGCACCTTGCACCCAGAGCATCGAAGAAGACCCTTGTGTTGACCACAGACGCCACAGCCGGAAGGGAGTACTTTGGATAGCATTACTGCGACGGAGAATGAGGGAAATGAACGTGTAACGTACGAATCTCTATAAACAGAAGGCCCCAAAGCCAGAGAGATGGATATAGTGACGTCTTCCTTCGGTGTTAAAAAGACTGAATGAGGCTGTAAGACGCCATTTCTCGTTGATGGGGGACCGGTTGCTTCGCAGTCAAAAATAGGGGGAGACTTATCTGAGTTGGGTGCCCAAAGGAGGACCGGGCCCCACATGTCAGTGCCCTATTCTACAGGCAGAAATGAACTGTCAAGCATAACTTAGTTACCTTACGAATACTGCGTGAGATCAGAAAAATGGATGCTCCGAGTGCACGCATTAGTCATAAGTGTATATGTCGGAATCAGCGGTACCCGTAATAGCAGGTCATCCAATGGAAAATGGCAAAAGGTCTGAATTGTTTACTACCCCTTCGTACACACAATTTATGGGCATCATGACTAACAACACTGGCAATGAACATGCTCCGGAGTGGAACAACCTAGCTCCGGTCATTTATACCGACAGATAATTGTGACTAAGCACTCACCGACAGTCGGTCCCCTCCTGTCAGTGAGCCAATGCCTAAACACAAACCAATGCCTAAACACAAAAAATTCAACTATTCAATTTCAAACCCAATTCTCTCCACCAAAACAATGCCGTTTTCTACCGAAAAAGAAGAGATCTTGCTCTCAAATGCCCTTGAAGCCTATAATTCTGGTCAATTTAAGAGTATCAAGTCTGCAGCCTCCCATTTTAACGTGTCAAAGTGGAAGCTGCGAAACCGAAATGAGGGCCGACCGAGTAAAAAAGGGCGTGCAGCTACCAATAAAGCATTAAATGAGTCGCAAGAGAAGTCTTTGATTCATTGGATCGAGCTCCTTAATTCGGTCTATACACCACCTAATGCTTTTGATATTGAGGATGCTGCAAATCGCATTTTACAATACTGCGGTTCCGACCGACGGGTTAGTAAAATGTACGGATATCAATTTATCCAACGTTTACCACCCCATATTACCCTCCGAACCCAAAAACCTATAGAAAAAGCGAGAATCGAGGCTGAATCTCACGGTGAATTAATTCATTGGTATGAGGTTTTTGGTGATTTTCTCAAAAAGAATAAGATCCAAGCCAATGAATTATATAATTGGGATGAAACTGGCTTTCAACTAGGCATTGGAACAAAGGAAAATGTCGTGTCTACCCGCCAAAATGAGACTATTGGAACCGGTGGAATTGGTCAGAATATTACTGGCATTGAATGTATTTCAGCTGATGGCTGGGTTATGCATCCTTGGTTCTTGATTCGCGGTTCTGAGCATATGGAAGACTGGTTCGAAGACGACGATAATATAGCCAATTACCGGGTTATTAAACCAACTTCTAAAGGCTGGACAGACGATACAACTGCAATTCAATGGCTATTGGACTTCCATTTCGTCACGAAAAAGCGAGTTACCAAAGGTAGACCTAGAGTTCTACTTATGGACAATCATGGTTCTCATGGAACCCCGGAATTCGAGCATATCTGTCAAAGTTTTAACATCATTCCTTATTGGTTTATTCCAAAAATGACACATCGATGTCAACCTCTTGACGGTAAACCATTCTCAGTTCTTAAACAGCGTTTTCGGCGGAAGAACAATGAGATTGAACGCTGGGGTGGCGATGTCAATGATAAACGGCATTTTTTTCGAATGATCAAAACAGTCCGCAAAGACACATTCAAATCGCAAACTATCAAATCAGCATTTGCGGATACTGGCATTTGGCCTTGGGATCCAAAACTTGTTCCTGATCAAATTGATCCTGGGTGGGAAGATGAACCAGTGATTGAAATTTATGGTCATACGCCCTCCCCCGAAGCCGAAATCCCAAGTTCACAGACGAATTCACCACCAAATACACCTCACAGATGGTCAAAAATTGAGGATAAACTCGAAACAATCCTCGAAAATGATGAACCAGACGTTTCAAAACTCCAAAAGCATGTAAAACGTGCTATTCGTGGAGGTAAACAGGCGCTTCAAGATCTGAACCTTGCAAAACAAACGATCAAAAGGATGCAAAAACACAGAATTCCGATTAAAAAATCACGACGTATTATAAAAGGAGCTTCAAAATCCCCATTATCATCAATTGCGGGCAATATCAGAGTTCATCGACGTGCTGCGAACGAAAACAGAGTTGAGATCTGTCGTGAGATCGGAAATGCAAGAATTCGAGACTATTGGTATCGCGCCCAACAAGCTCTCAAAGAAAAAGAAGAGGCATCAGGAGAGAGAGATTATATTGATGAAAATAGTGAGCTATTTAAATGGGTAGATCCAGATGATATGTTGGGAGGAAATTAGGTTTGAAATTGAATAGTTGAATTTTTTGTGTTTAGGCATTGGTTTGTGTTTAGGCATTGGCTCACTGACAGGAGGGGACCGACTGTCGGTGAGTGCTTAGTCACAATTAGTGAAATTTTGTTTGAGGGTGTTTGCATACGATCACGTGCCTAGGTGTACTGACCTGTAGTCACTTCCTCGGGCGCACTAGTAAGATTGCGACCCTCTTTTGTTGACAGCTTGAATAACTTCGAATACGAATAGAGGAACTTAGTTTTTCTCCGCACCCCTAATAAGCTTGAACTTGCAGGGGACATGAGAACTTATTTCGTTCAAGAGACAAAACGCAGCAGAACTTGTTCAAGATGACATTCGCATACTGTACCGATTAGCGCACGTAAACAGCTGTACCTACTATTCCGCCAGACTTGTTAAAGATAAAAATCAATCGCCAAGCCCTTCTTCCTATCCAGAAGCTTGTTTTAGAATTGAATTTTCACATGCACTCGCACTTGCACACCACATAGGTAGAGCAGAGGTCCTTGACGCCTCCCCCGAAAGAAGTGTATGTTTTCTCAGCGTTCATGCTGACATCTAGACCTGGATCTTCGGTGAGCTCGCAAACTGTGGTCTGCTGGAAATCAGTAAGCATGGCACTTGAGGCGAAGACAAGGCCTTCTTGTGCAACTGCAGTGTGGCCCCAGAGCTCCTGAACAGGGCGCTTCACGCCATCAACGGGGAAAGGAAAGTTGGCACTGGCACCAGATTGTTCGTTGGCGAGCTGGATAGTGGCAGGCTTGACCCAAGAAGGAGGAGCGGCAAGGCCGGAGGAGGTGAGGAGCCAAGAACCAGAGCGGTGACATTGGTGAGCTGCATTACCAATTATGAAGCGTTTGTTTCTTTTTGGAGAAGTTGATGTTGAATGTGCCTATGCAAGCGGATCTCTCGGCGGCACCCTTGAGATCATTGATATTGATGGTCAATGCGCGATATGGTCCTATGACAACCATGGCTGCACGGGATCTTCAGCATTCTTTGGCCAGCTTGAGGGAGAAAAATGCTCAAGTAAGTGAACTTCTGGCATAAGAGTCAGCAAAAGAGTTACTAACAATCTCGCAGCGGTGAACGAAGTCGGAGACCGTACCCATCGCTACCCTGTGCACGGGGTGGAGGCTTGTGGCACGGAAGACAATTCGTCAGCTGCATGGATTCAGGTGAAGGATACGGGGGTAGTCACCTTCTCCAATCACCAGGGAGAAATGTCGTCATGTACATTAGACAACGGACTCAAGCATGGCAGCCGATGTATTGCTTCTGACTCGGGATCTTCCACCAAGGCGTCCTCCGCTTTGACGACACCGAGGTCTTCGTCATCAGTGTCGGAGTCATCCTTGACTACCTCCCAGACCGCACCTTCTTCTGATTGTTCCGCGGATTGAGGAAATATGAAGAACAAGCGGCAAAGTGACATCACTCTCGGTATGTACCAAGCATACCCTTCACTACTTTGCAGGTAGATGGAATTTTAGGCTTTCCATTAGTTATGTTTTTCAATGACTGGTTTTGTTTCCTTTTGAACATTATACGTAGGCAAATAAGACGGAAACGTGGACAGCAATGCAATTGAGTTAAACTGGATGGGTGTTCTGATAGATTTATGCTGATTCATAGGTTGTGATTCGATCCTGCATTTTGTTCTTTAGGTTCAGTTGGGAGAGTAGTAATAGCTTGTACTGTAGCTACGCTTTGCTTTCCAATTTGGGCGCTTCTCTTGAAGACTTCCATCGATATGATAGTATTCGAGACCTTGTCCCAATCTGAGGAAAAGTAAATAAGGAAACTCCTATATTCGGAAGACTGGGCCATGGTGATTGAATACGCCCTTTGTTGTTGCGGGTTGGTTTGTGCGTTATATTGTCATTCCAGGGATTGAACATAAATATAATATGACACTTCTTGAGTTTTCCGACGGTCTTCGAGCTCGACGACAAACAGCTCGCCGATTACGGGAGCATGGGTAATGCAAATACCAATGGCAGGCTCAAGGGGTATTTTATTACCCTAGGAATCTGCTAGAATCAGTTCCGAATTCGGATAATTTGCTCCGAGTGTCTGCCTGCTTGTCCTAGCGCATTTTTTTGTCTTTCGATATTCTTTGTTATCATTTTGGACCGAGAAATCTCATACAACGGATCGCCCTGTTGGGACTTAGGAGTAAGAAGCTATGTCGACGTAGCAACCGTGCTTGAGATTGCAAGTTGGGGGTTGGTTGTATGCAACTCCCTGCAGTGGTGTTCGACTTCTCACCCGCACGTAAAGTGGTGCTCAAACAGGCGTCGTCCCATTGGAGTGCTGCCTCCCGAATCAAGCGAAAAATTATTCTCTCTAGGGGTACTTTGGTCTGAAATCATTTTTATATGGCCTTCAACGCCGGAACTTAGATAAAACTTTCCTTGTTTTATGCACACTTTCTGTCTCTGTCCGTATAACCAGCAATTAGATATCCATAGCGGTATCCAGATACAAACATGCACATTTTCTTCATCACCATTACGAAACAGATCACGCCCCTGTAGATGGTTTCATTGGTGCTATGAACTTATCTCTTGACCCTGGGAGTTCTCTTGCTCCCGGAAGCCTCTGAGACGTTTCTGGGAGCTATGTGATGGCTCATGGATGCTTGGGTTTACCACTACGCCATCTGGCCAAAAAGGCACAATGTTTGGTCAGCGACCGAACACCCAAGCTACTATATATGCTCGATCTCTGACAAGCAAAGAAACATCCTCTAGGAGCCACGTAGCCCCAGGAAACCCGATGTAGCTTCTGGGGTCTGGTATCCCCACCTCGGGGAATCAAAGCCGCGTTCCTGTTGACGATTTGCTTGATTCCTGGAGCGATGATTTGGCCTTCTAGGAGTGACCGAATGACGCAGGATTTTGCGCAGGTCCGGTGAAGGTATTTTGTGAGGGCTTTCGGCGATCTCGGAAGGCAAGAGAGTGACTCTAGGGCCCTAAAGTAAGCTCCCGGGGGCTCCACAGCTCCCAGATCTGGTCAATGTATTCCCAGAGCCAGTTTCGTATTCAGTCAGGAACGTAAAGTGTAGATCCCAGGGCTAGATCTCATTTTCCTAGAAACTAAGAATAGCCCCAGGAGCTAAATTGAGGTTCCTAGGGGATAAATAGCTCCTAGAAATGCTTTTGAGGTTCCCAGGGCCAACATATTGGTTCCCAGAGTCAAGTTAACAAGCACGAGAGTTTGTCAGTCTCTTGCCTATGGCTTTTCTGCCAACAATCCCCGCCTTCACGCGACACGGCTCCACTGAGATGAATGTCAACAAAAGAGGGTCGAAATGTTACTAGTGCGCCCGAGGAATATTCAGCACCCCCTCTGCCTGATGATCGTTAAGGCTCTCAACGACCTTACTAAGCTCATCCCCTATTTATTCTGCACTTTCTATAGTATATAAAAAACACACTCTCAAGTACTCAATTGGCTATGCCCGTACTAGTCCGTACTGTAACGACCACGTTCCGATAATGAATCCTTCTCTGTTTCTTTGGTCACCGCCGTTAGGTATCATGAAAACAGAACTTTTATCTACCACTACAGTTTCGAGCTCAGACATTTTCGGAATCACCGAAGCAGTCAATAGCTACTGGCTATGGTGTATTGGTGTCCAGCACTTACGAGATGAAACGGTCGCGTTGTACTTCGGAGTTTAACCATCGGTATTTCATTTCTTGCTAATTTGCTTCAAAATTGTATATCACGGCTATAACGGCTGTAACCTCTGTTGCTGATCACGATGCCGAGTGTCTGGTCACGTGTACTCGCGTGTGATTCACTCGCTTTTCGCATTTTCCGTCAAACTCGGCTGTAACCTGTGATCACCTACGCTGAGTGGGATTGAGTCGTGCCGATCGGCGAAGCGGTGCCGCGGTGGAAGGTTGTCGCAGTAGATGAGTTCCTGCTAGTCTGGCTGACCGACGGGGCCCACCAGTGGGAGATGGATCGCTTGCCGTGTGGACGGAATATGTCTCGGCATCCGACGAGGGGATTCGTAAGGGGCGAATGATGGCATCTAGGGCTCCTTCGTTTCGGCTGCGGTCATCAGTGTCTTGGTCGTCTCAGAAAAAGGTCGTTCACACTTACCACACACAGCATGACGTGCCAAACCCTGTATCTCGCTTTTCCAACCATTCTTCGGCGCACGACAGATGACAGAGCGATGTGCACTGACCGCAGTGCAAGATCACGCTCTCGTCCGCATGGTCTTCATCCTCGGTCTGGCAGAACACACAGTAGATGCTGTCGACGTGGACGCTGTCGACCTCTTCACTCGAGGTGAGACTCTGGAGCGTCAATTCTTGGGAACCAGCCCGGATATTAGTTGCCGATGAGAGGATGGCTGGTCGGGTCGGCGAAACGCGCCATGGAACATTGTTCGTCCGCAGCGTTGCAGAAGTCACAAATGGATTGAATGGCTGCACTGGCTCGTGGTTGGTTGACAGGGGCACCGGTGGTGGTGATGACCGGGTGTTGTCTGATGCAGGGCGTCGCCTGGAGGCTGACGATGTCTGACGCTGGCCCCGATGTACAATGACTGATGGAGAGGCCATTCTGGAGCCATGTGGTACTCGCGGCTGGTTGCGGGCGGCGGCTTCATACCACTGCTGGCCAACTTGGTCGGCCTGCCGTTGTCGGTGCCATCTCGCGCAGAGGAAGTCTCTGGCCACATCACAGAGCTTCGACTGCAACGTTGACAAGTCAAACGGCTCTCTAGCGAGAGTGGTCAACTTTTGATGGCCGGTCTTGTTGTCTTCAACTTTGATCGAGTTCTTGCATGGCTCGCCTTTTTTCGTCATGCCGCAACAGGAGCCAGGACCGCCATTGGGGCTGACCTCTATCTCACAAACAAGAAACGGATTCCAAGGCAGCATGGTAGTTATTTAGGTTGTCGTCAAAGGCAGAAAATGCTTCGGATTGTGGTGGTGTTGCGCAATCACTGCGGCGTTCCCTCGCCAGCTTTATATGCCATCGCCGTGGGCTCCTTACCTACATGGCTGCGTGGCTGGCATGGAACACTTCCTCGAAACAGTCGGTACGTCGAAGAATGCATTCACACGCAGTATGCGCCGTATACAGCCGATCAGTGGCCTGCATGAAGGGATATCATTCCAGACCACTGCTGCAATCAGCTGCACATTTGACTATCCATCGCGGGGACCATACATTGGCGAACAGATTGGCTACTGCGGTAGGCAGCGAAGTCGGCAAATGCTGCGTTAGATTCTGGGCTGCCTATGCATTTCGAAGTGCGTGATAGGTTGTGATTTGTTCTTATGGTGCTAGGTGCAAGATGTGGATACGTAGAGATAGATTCGGTTCCCAGGCCATCGACACACTACCAGGAACAGTTTTGGCGTTCCCAGGAGCTAGACTCCAGAGATTCTACAACTCCGCCTGAGCATTGTTGTTAACCCTTTGTGATTGCTACGCACCTCTCAGCGGACTGACAGACTACACTCATAGCTGACCGTGGAATTTGGCTGAGGTGAGTATATAAAGGCCTCCCATATCCTACTTTCACAACTCTCACCTCACCCGCATCTACATTTCGTTAGCTCAACCCGCTGTCCCATCATGGTCTGTTCAATTCGTTCTTACGGAGTTTACCGATGAGCTAATACATTACAGCCAAACATCAGAGACCTGCCCAACGAGCTTTTGCTTTGGATTGTGTCGTATTTGGACGGTAGTGCATTATTTGCCCTCGCAAAATCATGCAAAGACCTTGATTTTAGACTGCAGCCCAGCATCTGGAAATACAATATCAAATTTCAGAACAGCAATCTTTTGCACTTGGCCGTCAAATACTACAACATTGGTCTTGCGGAGGCTTTGCTCCAGCACAACGCCAACGTCAATGCATTTTACCGAGGCAAAACTCCTTTAATGAGGGCGCTCAAATACTCTTCCGCTGCTGTGCGGGACCTCTTGCTCAGTTGTGGAGACCTAGACATCAACATTCAAAATCAAGCGCGGGAGAGCGCCCTGTGGTATGCTATCCACTACGGAACCTTTTCCGCCGTCAAAAGTGTCTTAAATCAACCCAACGTCCAGGTGGACATCAAGCACAAACACGGCCGAACGGCGCTCCACCTAGCAGTCTTCGCAGGCCGAATAGGGCTCATGCATCTGCTACTTTCTAGAGGCAGTGACCCTGATCTACAGGATGATTCGGGCCACTCGCCATGGGACCGGGCACGTCGCTTCAATAGGCCCGTGATGGAAATGATTTTTTCAAACGATCCGATGGCCGAGTGTTTCTTGGTACCCAATCATCACAGGAGGCTGAGCTACCTCTTCACCATGCGGTATCCTATGGGTCGGTAGATGCTGTCAAACGGCTTCTTGGACAAAAGGGTCTGAACTT